ATCTCAAGTGTTTGCTAACACTTAATATTTAAACTTGAAAGACTGCCTATAAGAAAAGACTTCTTAAAGTTTTCAGACCAGCTCTGGGTGAGGCCTTGCTCCCCCTTTCTCCAGGCGGGCCAGTGGCAGCTCCTCCTGAGGCGTGGGGCTGTGAGAGCTGCCATGGGAAGGGACCCTGAGCTGGGCAGGGTGCTCACCGCACATTCTCCTCAGGGCCTGAGGGCAACTCCGCAGGCAGGGCCACTTTAAGGGCGGCCGGGGCATGCGCGCCCGCAGCTGCTGCCTGTAGCCATTAGCCGGGCGGCCGGACGGGGCGCTGCAAGCTCCCCCGCGGCGAGGCCGTCCCAGGACCGGCACGTGTGCAGCGGGCCATGGCGGCCTCAATTACCTGCCAGGAGCCCGGCGGGATCTCGGGCCAGGTAAGGGGCGGAGGAGGAGGAGGAAGGGGAGGCAGCTGCGTTTATAGCCGCGCCGGACAGCCCGGTTGTCCCCTCGGCCCCTCAAGGTGGGCCAGCGAGTCTCGTTCAGGAGACCGCGAGGCGGCTGCGCGGAAGGCCAGGTCCAGGGCGCGAGGCCGCCACTGGCGGGAGCCCAGAGCTGGGGAAGCGCGGCCGGCCTGGGCTTCCGAGGGTGCCCCGAGGTTGGGGACAGACAGGGCAGATTTAGCTTCGGAAAGGAGACCGAGGAAGAAAGTGGACTGAAGCCTTTCGTAAAGAAAACCCCTCTTCTAGGTCTTGACGTTTGTGAAATTTAAAATCGCTTTCAAGCAGAAGGTCGCTTGTAGAGCGAAATTTAGTAGACACTTCGGGGCTGGTGGCAGGACGATATGTGAATAACGTTGCTCTTAGTTTTAACATGGGAAAGTTTATTTAGCATCGGCCCGCTGCCTTTCTGCGCCGTCTCTGCACAACTTGCCGTGCTCTTTTCCCGGTTTGCGCACCGGCGTGGCGTCCCAAAGCGCCTGTCCTCAAGCTTGTGCCCAAACGGGTGGGAAAGGGACCTGCGCTCCACACGTCTGCCACTTCCATGGAAATTAAAAAGCCCACTGGTCTCTCTTAAAAGCACCTTACTTTTCATCCTCGTAGTGAAGCACAAAATCTGTTTTGTGACTGCTTTTGCTAAAAGTGAAAGGTGGTGATTACTCCCCCAGGAAGACAGCATAAGTGAGACCTCCCCACCCCAGAAAGCAAGGCCAGCTAATGTTGGCTTTCCTCTACTTCCCATATCTTGATAAATATGAGAGGGCAACCTTTTGTGCTGAGTGACGTTTTGTTACCCCTCAGAAAGCACTGCACACTTAATCTCTCACTTAAGAGCAAGCTTTCTGAAGTGGAATTATTACCCTTTTGAAGTAGACCCTTTTAACAGATTTTAATTTTTTCTAGAGGACCCTATTTAAACTCTAAAAAAAAAAAACACGGTATTTTATGATGCAGGATTAGGCAAAGCTGCACAAAATGCAATTCTAAATAAAATATCTGATTATTTAGCAATGCCAAATAATTACGGTTTCCCACCCTTAAAAGAGCCTGAAGCCCCGACTGACCCTTTTGTGTGCCTTTGTGAGGAGAGCTGCTTGCTCAGTTCTCCAGCTAGAGCTGTTTAAATCCCTTGACTCCTGGGGAAACTGGAGGCCCATGACTGCCTGGTGAGAGCCTCAGCCCATGCAGCTGCTCCCAGTGATAAGAGTGACATAAATAACAACTCACTAAAATGTAGGAGTGATTTGCTTTAAGCACTTCAGCACCTGCTGTTACTAATTAAGGGTTTAGCCTGCCATCGATTGCAAATGGAAATGCAGTGTTTTTCAAATTGTAGAGACTAGAGTGCCCTGAGTGTTACTGTGATCACAGAAATCAAACGGAGTGGATGAAGATGTTGGTGATAATGATGTCAAGTTATAAAAACTGCCCACACTTAAAGAATATGTACCAAGGTGTTAATAGGGCCTACTCTGAGTGGTGGATTTATAGATGCTTTTTATTTTCCCTTTAGGCTTTTTTGAGTTTTTCCTGTATTTCCCAATGAATACACACTGCTTTTGTTTAAAAAAGGTGCATAAGCAATTCAAATAAAAAAGATTTTCCATCAAATGAAGTCTAGCATTGCTCCAAATTATGGTGCTCACAGGTGAAAATCTTAGCGGTACTAAAAGGCAGTTTTCCAGGCAGAACATACTAGAAACTTTTATTCCTTTTTAAAAATTCTTATCAGTAGATCCTCCTCGTAGCCTGTGTTCATATTACATTGTCAACAAGATATTTAACCAATATTCGGATTTTTGTTGTTTATAAGCCATTCAGTTAATCGGAGTTACCTGGCGATAGTGGACTTGAGCAGTGTTCTAATTTGTGTAATTATTAACTTTCCGAATGTGCTATGGCACTGACTTTGTAAGGTAGGGAAAGAAGCCTTTGGCAAGAGAGCAAATCAATTCTTTTCGGAGCTTCTTTATGTCATGTCCTCTCTGTGCCGTGGTGTAAAAATTTCACACTCCTTTGCAGAACGGTGAGTTAATGGTGCTTGTTTTTCCCTCCTCCCTTCCCACATCCAGCTTCCTACCTCCTCTCAGATTTCTCCCCTCTCCCCCGTACCCATGTTCTGCCCTTTTCTCCACAAGGCTGAGAAATTCTGGGGACGTTGGGATCTGAGCCTCTCAGGGGAACAGTACAGTCAGAATACCAGGCGCTAGCTAGGAAAAGGTTCAAGTTAGGCAGCTGATTTCTGTTATTTTAAAACTTAACCTTTCGCTCTGCAGTAGGCCCTAGTTCCTGACCTCTGTGACTCAACCAATGCAGAGATCAATTCAATTCCGAGCTGTTTTTACTGCCCAGCACGGACACGTTTTCCTCTCTAATTCCACCTCTCCCTTTACCCTTCCTGTCAGGTTGATTTGATGTTGTCTCGGGGTTTTTTGGTGCTCAGGTGTGGTATTTCTTGAGAAAACATGTCAATAACTACCGCCTAGAAGGAATTATACAAACCTTTCTCTTTATAACAATCTTGTTATCCTCCAGACAAGGATGACCTAAGTGTCTTATTCAAAGCCACTAGTAAGTGGCTGAACTTAGTGATAGACCCTGGTCTCCCTGCTTCAAAAACCTTTGCTTCCCTTCCCACTGCATTAAGCTGTTGGAAAAGTATCAGTAACAGCTTGGCAGAACTGAGGTCATACACTATTCTTCCTGTGTTCCAAGGATTGAAAGCCATGCTTGTTTATCAGCAGAGGAGAGGGCTATTAGAATATAAGTCCCATGAGGGCAGGGACCTTGTCTGTTTGTTCACCTTGTAGTCCTAGCACCCAGCACTGTGTCTGCCCCGTAGAAGGGGATCAATAAATACATAGGGAGAGAATAAATAAAACATATTTAAGCAGATGCATAAAGTGGCAGGATGTTTTAAAGTAAAAAGAAAATTTTTCTAATATAAATATATACAGATAGCTCAAGACACCCTGGTTTATATGTGTTATTTTAGTGCGATTATTAATAGCACACCCTTTCATTATCAAAAGTGTCTCAGTTTGGAAGATAAACTTTGTGGTCACCCTGCCTATATAAGATAGGTTATTTTTGGATATTCACAGTTTGCTTCAATTAATCAGGTTAATTTAAAAAAACTCTAATGACCACTTGTTAATGATTGTTTCAGTGCTTGGCTTGGGGTTCACAAAGGAATATATTGGTATAGGAGAAATCATGTGCTATAGTGGAGATTTGCAGTCTGCACTCAGCATCACAGTGGCTAAGAGTCCCACGTTGCTCCTAAAGTGCTACTGGACATGAGGAATGTTTATAAAATAAAAAGGAAACATACTATCAGGGCCCCAACACTCTCTCCTGTAGAAATTCCAAATTTCAGAGGTTATTTGAAAGTGTTCAATGCCTTCTTCTTAGAATATAGAACATTTGAGGGAAGCAGAAGGAAATAAGGTTGTTGAGGTAGGTTGATATCAGGCTATGAAAGACCAAGCTAAGGAGTTTAAATTTTTATCTTGTTTAAAGTGGGGTGCGGCAGGTGAGGGAGATTGGCTCATCATGGTGAATTGAGTACACGTGAACCTCTGCGTCCCACACCCCTCCCCCCAAACTCCATAGCGAGAGCTACTTTGAAAATGTAATAATGCCTTCAGCAGGTAAATATCATGGAAAAATAGCAAGTTGGGTATTCCAAATTTAAAGACCAAAGAGACATAGCAACCAAATGCAGTGCATAGTCCTTACAGGATCTTGGTTCAAACAGAGCAGATTGTCTCTGAACGTTAAAAAAATCCACAGAAAAACTTGAAATTAGGAAAGTATATGAGATCAAATTACTATTAAAACAAAAGTAGGAAAACTACAGTTTAAAAGACACAAAGAAGAAATGCAGAGGAAAAACAATTTTAGTGATGGTTCAGGCTCAATGCTAGCAGAAACAAAGTTGAAAGTGTCCCAAAAGGTGCTCACCTGGTTTAAATTAGTTGAATACAGAACACCTGGGCCCGGTGGGCACCTGAATTTACCTTGGACTCTCCCAGCTCACTCCTATTAGAGCAGAAGCAATGGTACTTTTAACTCTGGGATAAACTCCAGGAACTGCTCTCTAAGGAAAATGAACTATACATGGCATGAGGGCTGCTGGTGTGGGTAATTTCCAGACCTCTAAAACTGAGATGGAGGAAAGAAGGAAAGGTAGTTCTTCTGACGAGGGAAATAAACTAATGTGCTTGTTTTTCAGAGCAAAATTCCCAGCTTAATTTTGATAAATAGCTTACTCCAGCCTCTCTGCTCTCTAGCTTCTGCTTCCACTCATCCGGCTCATGCACACCAAACCTATAGTCAGTTATCCCATTAAAGCAGTGGTCCTGCACCAGGGACCTGTTTCATGGAAGAATTTTTTGGGATGGTTTTGGGATGATTAAAGCACATTACATTTATTGTGCCGTCAAACCTCTCTGCTAATGATATTCTGTATTTGTAGCTGCTCCCCAGCACTAGCATCACTTCATCAGCTCCAGCTCAGATCATCAGGCATTAGATTCTCATAAGGAGTGTACAACCTAGATCTCTCACATGCACAGTTTAAAGCAGGGTTTGTGCTCCTATGAGGATCTAATTCCTCCATTGATCTGACAGGAGGCGGGGCTTATGTGGTGATGTGAGCAATGGGGAGCAGCTGTAAATACAGATGAAGCTGTGCTAGCTCGCCTGCCGCTCACCTCCTGCTGTGCGGCCTGGTTCCTAACAGGCCACGGACAGGACTGGTACTGGTCTGCAGCCTGGGGCTTGGGGACTACAGCATTAAAGGAAGCGGCCATCAGGGAAATACCATCCTAACTGCAAGGGAAACTGCTTATTCACATCCACTTAGTCCTTGATTCATATTTATGTTTGGATAACCAAGGACTGCCTGACATTAGCAGAGCCAGACACAAATG